TGTGTATAAGATATATGTATATATACACATCTCATTTCCAAGAGATAGACAAAAATAGATTATAAAACTTTGATTAGAGAATTGCTTTGGCCTTTTTTTCGACTTTGCGTAAAATATAAAAGGTTCTGTTTTGAATTTTCAATTTTCGTATACAGGTCTCCGTTTTCAAATATAAAGAACAACAGCACCACCACCACCACCATTCTTTCATATAAATTATTCTATCTAACAATCATTCATTTGTTTTAAGATTAAAACAAAGGCAATAAAAAATCAAGCAAGATTACAATAGCTAGGTGCCAGCAGCTTAAAAACCAAAATAATATAACAATAAAAATAAAAAATAAAAAAATAACAAAAACTTCTAAAACTAAAATAAATAACTTCTAAAACTCCGGAGAGTCAGCTGCCGGCTTCTCTACCTTGATTATGCTTCTCAACACATTATAAATCCTGCAATGCAGGGAAGCATGTCATGCGCAGATACCAAAATATCCACTTAATTGTTCAAGCGTTACTCTCAGCAAAATTAGATATAAAGAAGTGGAGTAGGAAAAAAGTCCTGAGAAGGTCCATGAAACCATAGAGAAAATAGAACATAGAAAATATTTTCTCTATGCTCAGACATATAAAGACGGGGGCTCAATCACTCGTGCGGAACTCTGCTATGCAATGTTGTAGGCTCATTGTGTGTACTGTAGCGTGTACCTAAATACAACGGTGGGGGAAAACTAGAAGATGTAACAGCAGTATGTTCTATTAACTTAAAATTTGTACTCGGTAAAATGGGTTATACTGAGCCGATTTTCACCATTCGAAAGTTGATATGAGGTGCTAGTTAACGTTTATTAAGATTTTTGGAAAGAAAATAATGAAATTATGTCTCTAAATAGACATATGCATCAGCCGAATGTAGTACAATTAATTATCAGTGTGATTAATCTGCTCAATAAACAATTTTAATTACTTGTGCAAATATAAAAATGTGGGTATCCCACATCTTTATATACGACTTTTCATGGATCTCGACCTGCTATGCGACACGACTTTAGAACGGAATAACTCATGCGTGACCGTCCTACCTGGCGTCCTACTTATCTTCATACGTAGATTTGCGTTTCAGAATCTACTCGACGAGATGACCTTAACGTTCTCGCATGCGCAGATGAATTTTAGTGACGTCATTACGTTCTACGTCCTACCATCGTCGTGCAATCGATTCATCTGCAACGCAATCGGAAAATTTGAACCAGGTTCGACCTTCCTGACAGCTGTCGGCAACTATCGCCGATAGGTTTAGCGATTCTACGGAAACCAGACTTAGGCCTAGTTCAGACTAGGTGGATAAACCCGGCTCAACTCACCGTGTTTATCCACTCTGCCAGTCCGAACTAGGTGGCTTATCTCAAGCCGGGCTGTGTTCCTATAGTAACAAGGCCTGGCGTGTTTAACAAGGCCACCGTGTTTAACTTTTCTAAGCCGGGCTTTATTCGTCTTGCATTGACTTCCGGGTAACAAAATAACAAATCAGCATTCAATTACGTACGCTGTGAGCGATCGCGAGCGTACGTACGTGTCACGAGCAATGTTTTGAAACACGTCTCCTGGTTACGGTTTATGCAAATTCACGCCTAGCTAAACCCGCTAGTTTGAACGCCCGGTAAAGTTGAGCCGGGCTTAACGTTAAGCCAGGCTTAACTCAAGCCTGGCTTATCTCCAAGTCTGAACTAGGCCTTAGGAAACATAAGCATACACAAACACGTGCGTTCGTGGGATAACGCGTACGATTGTTAGACGCGAGCGTATCCTTGGCCCTGTTCTGATTGGTCAGTTATTAAGGTTGATTGACACACTACAAAGTTTCATTGTGCTATATAGGGTCAAGGTAGTAGAGACCAGTGACTTAAGGTAAAGATGCATTTTGATCAAGGTAAAATCAATTACGTTTTACAGAGTCAGATGAGAACTATTGTCGCTGGCCCGACCCCGATGATTCATCCGGACCCTGGTGTTATTATGAAGATGAATCTGGAAACATAGAAAAAGAATTTTGCCATATTGAGCCATGTTCTGGTAGGATTTTACAATTGATATGTCGTAATTGTAGGCTTTTATAGGATTACGATCAACAAGTTGCATAGAGGGGAATTTGGGAAATGTTGGAAATGAAGGCGGTAGTTTTTAACTCAGGCGTATGATGATGATGATGATATATAGTAGTGATAAAGTTGATGATTACGATTAAGATGATTGACATATACCACAAATTGTTGATTAGGATTATAACAAAGGTACTCTTCATAAAGGGAAGAATAAGATCTCTTGCTGCACCACTCTTCTTATCTACATATCTTATATATTTTAACATACTTCATCGCCTTAAATTCCAAAACATTTTTGATGTACTAGCATGAAAACATTAGTAACTTTTACTTTATACAGTTCATGCTGGATGTTTGACAGGAAACGGTTACACATACCGCGATAAAGCTTCATATACCCGAAGTGGACATCGCTGCATCTCGTGGAATGAAGTACATCGGTTTGGTGTGAACATAACATTTTCCGGTGACGGTGAGTAGACCTACTAATCTGTAATATTGTTCCTTGTAATAATCAAGACCTAGGAACATAATATGGGGTACGGTAGGCAGAAAGGGGTGGCGCCAATGTTGAGGGCCGTCGGGGAGAGCTTCCCCCCTCCCCGTCGAGGAGAAAAAACACAAGTCATCGGAGAGAAAAAAATATATAAATATTTTCTACATATTAGTAGACTCTAAAATTTATTAAAAACCTTTGTAACTTAACCCCCAAATTGTTAAAATTCGCTACCTGGACCACTTTCGAAATATTTTGGGTTACGTCCGACCACGCCAGTGTTCTCGTTGGGGACATCTGGCCCCTCGTCGGGGACATCGATCCGCAGTCGGGGACCTCGGACTCCCAGTCGGGAAAATCCTGGCGCCGCCCCTGCAGTCAGTTAGGTAATTCTTTTGATAGAGTCAGAAGCAGTCGAAAATAATAAATACGACTTCTCGAACTCTACATATTTCGTTCATTTTCGGCCATTTGAAAGTGCCATACATCAAATCTCGACCCTCTATCTGAAAAAATGAATATTTTAACTCCCTAGTTCGTATTTCTGGATCCACCGCTGTATAGATTTCTGAATTCAATCTGCCAAACTGAAACCAAAAATGGGATGCTATGTTTAACAATAAATTGTAGTTAAATCGAATTCACGTAAAAAGATTTAAAATAATTGTTTTTAATTGTGACCCAATTATGGATATTATTATTAAGACGTTGTTTGTGTAAGATGAAATTCAAGGACAACCGAGCACAAGCAGTTGGGCTGTCTTGGAACTGTAACACACAATTGCAATACAACTCAACAGAAAACAAATTACTGTATCTAGATTAATTCCCTTCCTCATGCAAATTTCATTATAAAAAATGTATGACTTTTCAATGAAACGTCAACGCATTAACATGTAGAAATGTTTTAATCATGATCTAAAGCAATATCACGGCATATTCAACACATTTTTGTTGTCTATTATTCGCAATCATTACCTCTTTTACTTTGTATTATTATTCCTTCCTCATTCCGAATTCCTGGATTCGCTACTGAAAAGGATTACCAGGAGTAGAAAAAAAAGTCTCTGGTATAAATTTCCGTGTA